TGTGCAGAAAAAAGGGTGGAATTTGCCTCTGCACTGCAGTGGCCTTGATTGGAGTGAGCAGAAACTAAGACAAGAAGTAAACCAGTAAGAGCCTCTTGAGAGGAAAAACATTAAAGCAGGTATTAGGTGCAGTGAAATGAAAAACACTAAAAATAATCCAGATTCTTAAAGTTTTCAGTACCTGAAGTCACAATATTTCTTCCAGAAAAAATAAAAAAAAATATTGAATCCTTTGGAGCAAGTAAGAAGAGGAGATTGCCAAGTGCACAGAAGCCCAGTGGTAAATCAGAAATGGACAAGGGTCAAAAGAAAGATGTCTCCTCAGGACAGGGACACCTCTTCAGAAGAGGGAGGAGAGAAGAAAGAGAGATCCAGATGGGTAGGAACCCTCAGCCAATTGCTGCACTTGTATGAAGTCCTTGAAAGCTGCCAGCACTAAGCGGCTGCCTCTGAAGTTGGGAATTGTCTCTAGTTTCTTGTCAGGGATCTTATAAAATTGTCCGTTCCCCACAGTGGTGCAAGCAGTATCTCCAGCACCACCGTATTGCATGGCTCAGGTGAGGTGGGCAACCACATCCTAAGGTGCCTCTCCCCCATCGCCTCCCTCCCCCCACAAGCAAAGTTAATTCCTCTGCTATGGGCTGTTGGACTGAGCACACCTCATGTCTCGTCTCAGCCAGAACCTCTCTCCAAGGAGAAGCTTCCTAAATATGCCCCCTTCTCCCTTTCATGTAACCCAGACTGCTGCCTCCCTTGGACTAGCTCATATGACGGTAGCTGGTGGGCTAGGGGGCTCAGGTTGAGTCCCATTGCTTGGCACGGGACTGGCAGTAGTTGAGGGAGGCACACTCTCCACAGAATCTCCTGACTGAATCTCAGGGGTCCTCTGTGGGCTGGGCTCCTCAGAGTGGTCCATGTTGCCCTGGACTTCCTTCCCTCTTTGGATCAGCTGCTCTAAGGTCTTGGGCAAGGGGTAACTCAAGAAGCGCTTCAGTTTGGGCTGGAGGGTGCCTACCACATACTGGATAATTTCCTCCTCATCTGCATCAACATAGAGGGTCTGGTACAGGTCTCTCTTGCGCCAAAGGAACTGGTCCAGAGGCTCCCCCTCTTTCTGGGGCAAATCCAGCTCCCTTTTGATAGCATCCCTAGTCAGAGTTCCCTCGCTGTACTGCAGGAACTCCTTCTTGAACTCGACCCAGTTCTTGACAGAATCCTGCTTGTATTCCCACCACTTTTTAGCTGGGCCGTTCATGTGGTTTTGAATCTGAGACAGCCAGTACTCCTCTGTTCCACCCACCTGCTTTAAGTATTCCTCCAAGTGGCTCAAAAACTCCCGGGGATCCTCAAAGACCTGGGTCTCCACTGGGGAGGCTGGAGCATCCTCTGACACAGAGACCCACTGGTAGGAATCATGGGCCTGGGGGATGCTGGGCACCTCCCCGGGAGGAGGGGTCAGCGCATACATTTGGCTCATATCAAGGGCATAGTCATAAATCTCCCCCTCACTTGGCCTTATCTCTGGGCCTCCCACCCCAACGGACACAGTCTGCTTGCCATGGTCCCCAGGACAATATTTGCCTCCCATGGACTCCAGGCGGTCCGCCCACTTCTCCAGACGGAAAAATACCTCCTTCCAAACATTCATCTCTCTCTTGACCCACCTCTCCAGATGGGCAATGGTCTCCTGGCACCTGGCCAGGCAGGCCTTGATGGACTTCTTCCATCTTTGGTTATCAGTTGGGACATGGTCCTCCAAGTTATTCTCTAACTTCCCCACTGATTTCTGCAAGCCTTTCAGCTCGCGCTCCACCTGCTTGGAGACCTCAGACAGGAGGTGCCGGTGGGTCCTCCTGACATGCTCCAACATTTCTGCCCTGCATTTCCCTATCTGCAGGATCACATTGGGCTTGTTGGCAACTCCACGGTGCCCCTGGAAGGAGTGGATGCCCGCATTGGTGACATTATCCAGCTGCATGGCTCCGACCGTGCGAGTGTCAAACACAGAAAGAACTGTGTTGTAAGCCCTGGCACTAGAGCTGACTCTCAAAAACCCCACCACAACACTTCCCGAAAGACACACAGAGACTTTTAACCCCCCTCTAAGGACTTTTCAACACAAACACAACCAAATCAGATATCACCGCAGAGCAAGATGTTCGGTCCCCGTGGATCCCAGAGAGAGTTGTAGGCAAATTTCTCCCGGTGCCCAGCTGGAAATGCCGGTCTCACGTGCTCAGGGTGTCCCAGAGAGAGCCAGGATCCTCCAGGAACAAGGAGAGAAGTTGGCTAAGATGTCCAGCCCCACACGCGTGCCTGCTACCTGCTCGTCCGGAGCTGAAAATCTCGAACAGCAGAGTCCTCGCTGGAGAAAAACACACAGAGATGCACACAGAAGCTGGAAGCTGCTGCAAAAATCCCGGTGATTTCTCCTCTGGTAAACTTGGCGAGTCAAAAGAGCTTTCACTAGAGATGCAAAGAGCTGCTTCTCTTCCCTGTCTGAACTGCCACTAGTCCAGGCTCTTCCATCTACTTATACCCCACACAGCTCAACATGTGGGTGGTGCCCTGCCTCCTCTCGCACTCTCAGCGCAGCGTTCATTGGAGGAAAAGCGAGGCCGGTGTCTGTGGCAACCCAGATCTTGGCAGCCTCCCCTGGCTTCCCACCCCCTCGCGCACGCCCCCAGACTCGACGCGAGAAGCACTTGAAAGGTGCTGGAGACAGTTGGACAGATGGATGAGTAATCGCACCTTCCGCCTTTCAGATTGCAGGAAAAACACTTATTCATTCCACAACTATTTACTCAGCAAGGTCAGCATTAGCATGCTTCCCCTGGCAGGACTCACAGAGGGGGGGGGAGATGAGGAGGAATTCGGTGTGTCACACCAAGACAGACGCCCCCGGGCCCCCCGCACACCCTCACATGCATGCGTATACACACACAGAGTGAGCTCACTCCTAATGCAAATGCTTGGAAATGGTGGTAAATCAGCAGGACGGGAAAAAAAAAAAGAGAAAAAAGAAAAGAGGAGGGGGGAAGAAGAGGGGGAAATACTCAAAGGAGCCACTTCAGTACAAACTGGAGCACTCTGGACTCTCTAAATCATTGGTAGGTGGGAGTCATCCCCACTGCTTAATTGCACCAGACCAACTGCTATCTTGGGAATATTCAGTAAGGGAGGGGGACGGCATCCTGGTTTTTACACCAAATTAAATCCGCCCATCAAAGCCTGTTCCGTACTTAGCTTGAATCAGATGTTTAATCAGTTAGCCAACCCACAAGCGCAGATGAAGCTACATTTGTTCTTTGCTCTTGACAAAGCAGGAAAAGCCAACCATAAAAGGAGTCCCCGGGTCTTATATAAGCCAGAGATAAAGGATTCCCTAATCCGAGAGAGTTCCCTGCCGGAACACCCTCGGAGAGGTGTTGAGGACATCCGGGATTTCTTGTCCCCTCTCAGTGACAGTGGCCGGAGGCAGTGGGGTGCTGATTCATTAATATCACCTAAAAAGGGGTTTCAAGCCTGTTACCAGTGGGAAGGTGCCTTGCCTCCGCTCAGGGTGGTGGGCAGTGTGCCAGGCAAGCTTAGGGTGGGTTTCCAGTCCCACAGCTCATGGCCACATGTTTCCTGGTGGGACTGAAGCCAGCTTGGTAAGAGAAAAATGCAGAGAGGATGGATGGGCTTTCAGTGAAGTCCTGC